ACCGGATATCTTATCCTTTAGGCCGTGACGACTTACTCAAGCTATTTTTCAATTAGAACAATTTTTATTGACTTTTAGTGGAGCAATTAGATTTTAAATGAACTTTTAATTAACGTGATGTGAGACGAGAGACTGACTAGAGTACTATTCTAATTATCTAATTAACGTTATGAAAGATACAGATATTTGGGTCGACTATTATCAAAGCCGGCAATCTGACTTTTGAACAATGATTGGTAAATCAGAAAAACGAATTATTGACTTTGTATTCCATTGGCAGTCACAAAACTCTTCGGAACGACATCTTAGATAATTAACAGGTTAACTATTAACCTTTATTTAATGCAGGTTTTGAACCGTATTCTTTGAAGGAGACGATTATATTCAAATCAATCTGTATTGACATATCAATAAAAAATTTTTGTCCAAATGCACAGATTGCCACCTTTGATAATAGACGACTCATTTAAAGTAAACAATAATAACGGGAACATTGCTGGAGAGAGATTGTTTTTGCGCCGTATAAATTATCGCCAGCTCCATTCACGTTTTTATCGAATTTCTTACGATCATCGTGTAGGTATAGGTATATTTACCAATTGTTTGCGCAAAATAATTATACGCATAGGATCCAATATATATATGTACATAACTCTAACTTTTCAAATTACGAGCTTCGAACGGTAAATGATTGTAACGGATACAAGCGCGATCATTTATAGATTAAAATAGATCTAAATACTAATATTTTAAAGTAAAATTTAATTTAATAACAATTATGATAACCAATCGAATATTCCCATGATGCTTTCACATCGCGAGCGAACGACTGACATGACGCATTCAACCAGAGCTGATTCGGAAAAACCAATGTTAGTTTCACAGCATCAGGCAAGTTTCAGTCGGTTGCTACTCATTGTTTTTTTTTTTATTTATTTTCTCCTCCCTATTCTGATAGCCTTGAGAGGCTATATCAGCTTAACCCAAACGTGTATGTGAGCTCACGGGGCTCAAACTGGAGTGTTGCTAACACTGGCCCTAGCAAGAGCAGTGCTTCGCAGAATCTACCACCGGATCGGAAACGCGACCCACTGAGAAGATCCGGCGAGAAACTCTACTTGTAGTGCATTGCATAGCGCGAACATTCACATTTAAGATCAGTATTTAATATAGAAACTCTTACTCATAATTTAGAACAAGTCTAGAAATCTATGAAAATAATTTTTTTTTATTGCTTAGATGGATGGACAAGCTCACCTGGTGTTAAGCGGTTACTGGAGCCCATAGACAACTACAACATAAATTGGCTTAAATTGCCCGTCCACCTTGAGATATAAGTTTTTAAGGTCTCAGTATAGTTACAGATCTAATCGCGCATCGTTAATACCTCACGATTACTCAGTGCATTCGCAAAAATCCGATATGTAACAATTCGAACAAGAAGGTAAATTCTGTAAGTAGTTTAAAACTAAAGGTAAAATATGTTTTATAGAAGAAAAAAAAAGCGTAAATATTATTGTAAAAAAAATGATTTTGAACAGAAAGTATAAACATTTCGTGTGTCTTTAAGCTGAAGCTGGACTGATCGTGCTGATTCTATGTTGTATATCTGTCGCATTGCTGATTACAGAAGAAGGAACACTGGCTGAGCCTCTGCTCGCCCACCTGTCCTGGTGAAACTGGAAAGGTCTCAGGGCCACCAGTAATCCTTCGATCATAAAAAAAGAAGGAACTATGAAATATAACTTCACTGAATTGAGTGAAAAAATTAAGTCATAGACGTCGGCAATACCAGGGGCATAGCCGATTCACTGCTTCCTACCGCTGAAAACTCTTCGCAAGCGATCGTCAACTGGGATGTATTGATGGTAGGGCGTTTTGTCCGCACCACCATGCTATCTCCTGCTTAGACCCAGTTCCGGTATTAAGAGTGGGATCTCCGTTGTGCAAAGATTTGATGCTAGCAACCTCGTATCTCATTGTATGTAGCGGCATTCTCTTTCTTGGCTCCTGTAACCAGCCAACACCGGGTGAGGTCACCAGGTCACCCGCAGGTGGGGGTTCATTCAAAATTCAACCATCCCCAAAATAAAATAACGTTACAAATGTACCACCATTTAAATAAAGACAGCTTCCACGAACGCCACCGAACAACCGACCTTGAAATGGACATTACTTAATGAATTAATTACTAATGATAATCATTACGTTCGCTAATGGTTAATTACTAGACAGTATCATTTTTGTTTGTTTGTTTTGTGAATTCGATTTTTGGGGAATTCGATTTTGCGCGATACACTGCTCTTGCTAAAGCAGACGTTAGTAAACTCTCTCAGGTTGAGCCCCGTGAGCTCGCCTACAAAGTCAGGAGTGGAACCAGAAGTAACTTTCGAGAGCACTGGCAGATACGTAGGAAAACATACGAATTTATTTTCCGCCAAAAAAAAATCGTATATCAGCTTTTTATTTCATACTTTTTATTTTCTCATTAATTTTAAATTTATACATATATATTATTGCAAAAAATTGGGTCTCCAATCATCAGTCAACATCGCAAGATGGAGACTCCCGCGGAAATGCCCTCCATATTTCGCGGTAACCGGTAGATTAGTTGCACGATCGGAAATACCTCATGAGGTACGTTTCAAAGGCTTGGAATCCTAAAAATCATCGCATAAATATCCGTAAGACAATCTCTTGTATGATTATTCAACTTGAACTTGAACATAATGATGATAATTATTGCATTGTCGTTCGATAGATTATCGAACCTAATTCCTCTAATGACATGATTTAATGAGACTAAGTTTTGAGCGGGAAGATAATTTCTACCATACTTTTTTCATAAAAATCTAAGCAAACGATCGCTTGGTCATAATGCCAACGTTTAATAATCATGTAGTTCGTCACTATACTTAAAAACATTTGAATTGTACACATGTGCAATTAATATTATGATACATCTGACGCAAACGTTGAAGGTATGACGCAACGGGAACAATACTGACTCATCCAACGACATCAAAATACGTTGGTAACAGTTAAATTGAAACAATTATGTGCGCGCACCTAATTTATTAGAATTATTCATATTATCAATTAGTATTTGTGTCAATGTTTGTGGTTTTGCGTTGTTCTGTTTACGTCAAGATTAGGTAAGACGTGTTTATTATGCACTTAATATGAGTGGCTTACGTTATGTTATTATAAGTAGTAGTACAAGGGACTTGCCTATTTGGGCCTGCCTATTAAGAATACGAAGACTTCGGGTTCAGGCGGTCAAGTAACGTCTATAGGGTCTGCCTTTTTTAAATGACTGACTTTAAAAGACATGTCTAAGATTTTGACTTTTTAACTTGTCAAATTATGACAATACGCTTTGAAATTACATATTATTATTTTTATAAATAAGGTACACATTATATTCAGTTATGGCTTAAAGGCTCATTTACCAAAGTAAAAATCTATACTTAATGTTATAAACCTGAAGAGTTTGTTTGTTTGAACGCGCTAATCTCAGGAACTACTGGTCCGATTTGAAAAATCCTTTCAGTGTTAGATAGCCCATTAATTGAGGAAGACTATAGACTATATATAACATCACGCTAAGACCAATACAAACGGAGCACCAATAAAAAATGTTTCAAAATCGGGGTCTTTTCTTTTCAACGTAAATGAAGTCGCGGGTAAAATTTTGCGTTATGCCAAAGTAACTATTCCACGCGGACGAAGTCGCGGACAAAAGCTAGTCTTAAATAGAATATCCAATTAAAATATTTACTGCTTTGTTTGTTATGTATGTACATATGCATGCTGTATGTGATTTGTGTTTTTTCTTCTTCATTTTTTAGGTTGTTTTTCAATTTATAACCATAGCCTACAGATTACAACACGTATTTCAATGACTGTCCTATTCTGTACAGATGAATTCATCCACCAACTAATACAAAGCGGGCTCTGAACTCTCTCGCGCAGATCAATAAAAATAAACGTCTCAAAAAGCAAAAAGCTTAATTCGAAGATGTTATTCCAATGCTTGTCAGGTCAGACGAGCGTCTCGTAAGCCTTGTATGTAATAATTGATGAAGAGCCGCGGAAGCTAAGAGAGAAACGGAGAAGGATAGAAAGCTCTTTATTGCATACTAGCTGACCCGGCAGACTTCGTAGTGCCCCAATCGATAAATAAAAGACCTAAACTTCTGTATAAAATAAACTTAAAACAAACAACGTCAACGGAAAAACAAAATTGTTATTTTTATTTAATTCCGAGCATTTTCATATTTGTTTACCTTTTAAACCTTCTCTGGACTTCCACAAATAATTCAAGACCAAAATTAGCCAAATCGGTCCAGCCGTTCTCGAGTTTTAGCTAAACTAACGAACAGCAATTAATTTTTTATATATAGAGATAAAGAAACATAGGTATACAAGAATGTACTCTTTTAAAGTCGTCGTGGCCTAAACGATAAGACGCTCGGTGTACGCGGATCTAGCGATGCGACTGTGCCAGTGTTCGAATCCTGCAAGCAGGTATAATTTTTTATATTTTTAATAATCGAATTTGTTTAAAGATATGATATCCACAAACGATTTTCCTTTAAACAAATAACGTCACGTAAGAAAATCAGACACGCAAAATTTCTAAATATGCCGTCTAATTAAGACATCGACCTCATGTCTCAAGTTTAGAGGTTTGCGTTCACGTTGCCCACGACTTGTGGTGACCTGTGCAGTGGGCTCGCCCACTCATTTATATAATTCTACCGTACGTGTGCCACTGAACTCCTCCTAAACGGCTGGACCGATAATGATTTTTTTTTGTATGCCTTTGGGTGGCGCCTGGATGGTTTAGATTCAGAAATTTATTTACGTTAAGTGGCTAGATCGACTTGAATGAATTTTTGTTTATCCATTCACAGGATAACGTCTGTCGGGTTCACTGGTTTAATGTAATACTTGTAATTTCACATTGAAAAACACCACAGTACAATGTGCTCGTAATGCTAACATCCGCCTCCAATGAGGAACATCGCTCGACGTGGCTGCGTGGTTGGAAGCGACGTGGTTGGAAGCGAGCAGTGACGATGAGACGCAACTCTGTCCATCGCCAGCCACGACTACTCCGCCAAGATTATCCGACAAGAAAGAATACCACATCACCCTTTAATTTAAGTCTCGGTTTCCTTTTCTAACTAGTCATCGTAAATACCCATTACACAAAATTATATAACGCTTATGAAACGACAGAACAGTCATGTGTTTTATGTGTGTAAAAAAACCACAAAATTTCCTCATATCACCCGTATAATGATGATAACATTCCAAGATGCAATTTAATGCGAACACGATGTAATATTGCGACATGATTTTTTTAATTTAATTATAAACACTTTACGGTTTTCGGATGAAAGATTTTTTGTGATTTGGATGGACAGATCGTTGTGGCGAGGCTTGTGGCACGTTTGTGTCGAGTAGTGGTCGTATATGGGCTGAAAGGTAGAAGAAGATAGACTTTCACCCACAACTAATTAATTACTTGGTTGTTTTTTTTCCAATGTATGGCGTGTGTGTGTATACTTATTAACACAGCGAAAATTACGGTAATTAACAGCGTTACATCGATAAATATAAATATGCCAAGCTAATAAAAAAGCGTGTTAAAAAATTAACAGTTCATGTCCAAAAAAAATACCAATCTAACATGGCTTCGCTTTTACGGAAAACGCGGGAAAACCACAACATCGTAAACGCGTTTAAAAAAAAAAACAACGCGATCGGCCTAATTCTTTTTTTAAATAACAAATCCATTTATCGGATCGGATGAGAAGCGAAAAAAAAACCTTTTCTAAATTGCGAAATTGATAGTCTCGGGTAATCCCGTACGGCCTTGCCGCCAACTGGTTTTACCGTCAGCGGTCTTCGGCGACGTCACAACTTAGGACACGCGCTAAACTGGTTCTTCCGATGATTAGAATCGAAACACGTTGTGCGCGCCATTTTAGTTTTAATAGTCTATGTGTGTTTACATTAACAGTTTCGAATTAATTTAAACAAACAAAAGAAACTTTTGCTTATACTTTATGTGTTTAATTCGTAATTTTTGGTATATGATTCTCATATATATACTTCAGTTTTGGGAGTTAATAATAATTAATTTATAACATAGTGATTAGTGAGTGATCCGAGAATTGGCTCAAGTTTATACACTTAGATTTTCTAATAAATAATCACTTAGATTTCCAACTTTCCCGAAATTTGTGGGAATATTTAGTCATTGATTCGATTAGCATAAGGTTGTTTTCAATCAGAAATTATAATAACACGATTATAACGTTATTTGGCACCTATTTTTATACGGCCCATAGACACGAAAAATGTAGCATATGGTTTAATTCACACTTTGTGGTAGAACGGCTGCACCAATACAAAGCGTAACGTAACGTAGAATTGTTACGCGGCAGATGTGGCACTACGTACGTCTAGGGTCGGAGGTAAGGTTTAAATTAGGTAATAACACGAAGTTACCTACGGACGGGTAGTAATGCTGGTAGTAGCAATGTAAAGACGAGCCGAAAAGACTTTTATTTTAAAAGCAATAAAAAAAGCAAGATCTTCTGCGTGGAAAATTATGTAATTAAATATATTTTAACAGTTTTATGGCGCGTCTACATAATTATTTATATTATTTATCATTATATTATTTCCAATATCTCGAAGACTTCCCAATTTTCGTATTCGCGAACGACTGGCTGCAATAAATGCGAGACTAAGCCGCAAGTGCAGCTTTGATTACGTCGACGACTCGTCAAAATCACAGAAAATACTAGAAAAATCATAAGTTATAAAGCGAAAAGTTCATTGACCTAATGTATTTATAGTCAAGTGTAAGTCAGCGGTCCAGGGTAGTCTAGATTCTAAGAACTAGATACAGACCGGCGAGGTCATGACCTAGGCCTCGCGGATGCCGCTTCACTAGACCATAACCGGAAATCGGAAATTCCGTATTATACGCATGTTTACATTTCAAACTTAGAATGTTGTTTATTTCATACGCGTATTATTTCCGTATTATTTCATACGTATTTTCTTTCATACGCGTACGTACTATCTGTCGAAAATTACATACTAATATTCGAACCCAAAAATCGATTTCTGACTCTTTTTTACAATCCAAAGTTTCAAATTAAGAACAATTTTTAAACTTGCATACGTGTTTTTAATAAGCGCATCCATTGATGCATATGAAATAATTAAAATACACAAAAAGAATAATAGAATACAGAAAGAAAAAGTGCTTGTTTTTGTTAATTGTTGTGTTAAAAGAATGTGCTCGAAATGCGGAAGGCGTCTTATCTTAAAGATTAAAAACTTAACTTTATCTACAACATGTAGTATTCCGAATCACCGTCATCACGAGCCGCGACTCGCCGCCACCTCTATTAAATTATTGATCCTATGGTAATGCCTTCATTGCCAGCAATGCTTTCCGAGTCAACGGGTTATAGCTTCTAGATCACAAGCAATCAAAGTATTGTGACCTAAAAATAGAAAATTTGAAGTCGTCGTGGCCTAAAGGATAAGACGTCCGGTGCATTCGTATCGAGCGATGCACCGGTGTTCGAATCCCGCAGGCGGGTACCAATTTTTCTAATGAAATACGTACTTAACAAATGTTCACGACTGACTTCCACGGTGAAGGAATAACATCGTGTAATAAAAGTCAAACCCGCAAAATTATAATTTGCGTAATCACTGGTGGTAGGACCTCTTGTGAGTCCGCACGGGTAGGTACCACCGCCCTGCCTATTTCTGCCGTGAAGCAGTAATGCGTTTCGGTTTGAAGGGTGGGGTAGCCGTTGTAACTATACTGAGACCTTAGAACTTATATCTCAAGATGGGTGGCGCATTTACGTTGTAGATGTCTATGGGCTCCAGTAACCACTTAACACCAGGTGGGCTGTGAGCTCGTCCACCCATCTAAGAAATAAAAAATAAAAAATTTGAATTAAAAATAGGGTTAGAAAAAATTATTTTATTGTAAAAAAAGCGTGGGGTGCTTTTCAGGATATTATCAAAATAACCCTTCTACTCATATCTGTTCATAAAATATTTATAACTACTCATACCATGCATTTTTAGTTGGATTTTCTATAAAAGCGTATTTTGTTAGATTTTTTTAAACTATTATTTATTTTTAATTTTTTTGTTGAATTTCAATTTTTTCTAATTTTTTTTTATTATAGAATTTTCATCGGTCCTTAATAAGAACACCGAATTTCTAGTTAATCCAACGTTTTGAAGGGGGTCAAAATCATGTTCAAAGATTCCGTTACAAACATACATACGTCTGAAGCTAATAAAAGCGTATTAAAATAGACTGAGAGATCTTTCACCGAGCGGGTAATATTAGTAAAACATGCCCAAACGTTATCGTTCGGAACTTGTTAGTATCTGTTATCTTAAAAATGTATTTAATGCGATTCGAACTTTTGTATATCTTCTTTTCTATGATAACTACATCAGGATATTGCGTCACCAACAAAGATATAATGGTCTTTTAGGCTTTTTCTGTCGCGTAACAGTTCCGGATTGAATTCACTTCGACCTCATGTTTAAAAATGGACCTCGGTTTGTAATGTCTGATTGGATCCCGTACCACTTAACACCAGTCGGCCCATGGACTCGTTCATCGATCTACACAATAAACATCGATAAATCGATCATGCTCCACTGTGATGTGGCGAGTAGCCTTCATACAACGTAAGATAATTGACAGATGTCTGAATTCGCTTACGACATTTTCAAGATAAAGCGCATATATACAAGTTCCGAACAACAACATTCGGATCGTCGGTCTACCGAGCAATATCACCCGCTCGGTGGAAGATCTTCCCTTTGTCGTAAGCCCTAAACTGGTGACCCCGACGTGACCCCGCCACAGTAACATCAGCTAAATCTAAAAGCTAAATCTCTCTCTGAAACTCTGCCCCGGAGTCCCACAATAATTCAAAGATCAATTAAAGAAACGCCAGCACAGATATCACAAATAAGCCAAACATACATTTAATTTTCATTTTACGCCAGCAACCAACGCCCAGACCAACATCAACCAGTCCAAGTATCGCCTCCTAAGACTTCATGGACAACACTTAAGGATACCTTATACAAATATACAAGAGAAAAAAAAAACAGAAACATTAAAAAATTTTCGGAGACAAAAAATACAATATAGTAGGTACTTCATTCTGTTTTCTGCTCAGCGATGCACCAAAATTAAAAACTACGGGCATGGTTTTCGAATATGTGCAGATGAATAAATCGGACATTTTACGCATTAGGTCACTGAAGTAAAGAGTGAAAAAATTACTGGTGGTAGGACCTCTTGTAAGTCCGCACGGGTTGGGCCGCCAATGCTAATCTCCTCCTCCTCGAGTCGTGTTCCTCATGTCTGAGGGTCGTGACCACCATCACCCGTGAGCTTCAATCTTAGGATCTTTTTCCACTTTCCCCTGTCCACCACCATGAATACAACGATTAGAGAATGCTAATCTACTAACTAACAAAAGCCCCTATTTCGGGTTAGACAGATCACAACTAAGCATATCTCGTCTCTCTGAAGTCGTCGTGGCCTAAAGGATGACTTCCGGTGCATTCGTGTCGAGCGATGTACCGGTGTTCGAATCCCGCAGGGTACCAATTTTCCTAATGAAATACGTACATAACAAATGCTCACGACTCACTTCCACGGTGAAATAATGACATCGTATAATAAAAATCAAACCCGCAAAATTGTAATTTGCGTAATTACTGATGGTAGAACGTCTTGTGAGTCCACACGGGTAGGTACCACCACCCTGCCTATTTTTGCCGTGAAGCAGTAATGCGTTTCGGTTTGAAGGGTGGGGCAGCCGTTGTAACCATACTGAGATCTTAGAACTTATATCTCAAGGTGGGTGGCGCATTTACGTTGTAGATGTCTATGGGTTCCAGTAACGACTTAACATCAACTGGGCTGTGAGCTCGTCCACCCATCCAAGCAATAAAAAAAAATCACCAAAACCTACTTTTTTGGCTCTTTCTAAAACAGGGACTACCTACCCGCGCGGACTCACAAGAGGTCCTAAGACGATAGCAACTACTAATAATTGCCATGAAAATAACTTATCATTAATGTATAGGGCGAAAAGAGAACATTCTAGAAGTCGAAATAGAAGTGAACTTTTGCTCGAACATAAACAAACTTAAGTATTTTATAAGCTTCACTGCTTAGCACAGACATAAGCTGACGGACACACTTCACGACGTATGCTGACATCGAGTAACTGCCCTTAAATTTCGAAAAATCCAGAAGTGTTTAGCATTAGTCTCTGGATACTGTTGACGGTCTCAATGATAGAGTGACTAGTGCGATTTAAAAAAAAAACCTGTAAACAAGGTCAACGCTCCGACACAATGCATTCGATTAGCATATTATCAGATCACACTCAATGTCTAGACGACACACTTGTAGTTTTTAAATGCAATCGATTCTCGGAAATTGGGAAAAAGTAATAGAATTATCAAGCGACTACTATAATATATCCCATATGGGGTATATCCCAAAATATAATATTACTACTTGTTTATTTTATTTTGTCCCTTAATGCGCTAAACTTAAGGGTCAATGCGATAGTTTACCATCCGAAGACTGTCTCGGGGTTAAATATTTACATTGCATGAATGACGTCATTTGTCGCCTACGTCTCTTTAGAATCGAATGAACTCAACAACTACACAATTGAAACTTAGACGTTGCCGGACCTCACTGCAGTGTAGAGGGGCCTCCGGTAGCCCTTTTACGCTGGATAAGCTGTAAGTTGCTCGATCAATTCTAGCTGTTTTTTATTGCGTAGATGAATGGACGAGCTCATCGCCCACCTGGTGTTAAATGGTTACCAGAGCCCATAGACATCTACAACGTAAATGCCGCCATCCACCTTGAGACATGAGTTCTAAAGTCTCAGTTTTAACAGTACAACGGCTTCCCCACCCCTCGAACTGAAACCCATTACCGCTTCACGATAGAAATAGGCAGGGCTGCGGTACCTAACCGTGCGGACTCACAAGACGTCCTATCCCTACCATAGCTGCTGACCACTAATAACCTAAATTCCCCTTTAACTTATCTGTTGCAAAAATTTCTCCACATTTATTATCTCCTCCGTAAATTGTTCCTAACCTTTATCCCCGTACTTGAGACAGTGAGGTCTATTCTAAGCCCTTATGTCGTAATGTGGACAGACAGCCAACGAGGTGGACCGACGACCTGGTCAAACTGGCTGGTAGGGACTGGATGCGGAAGGCAAGAGACCGAAGAGAATGAGGTGCATAGACCTACACTCAGCATTACGTGGATACGGGTTGTAGAAGAGAAGCCCTCGTGGGTGGATAGTACCTGCTACTCCTGCTACTTCTGCTAAGCCCTTTAAGCATTTCAACTCATATCACTTATTTTGATTGCAAAAACCTGGAAATCGATTCTTAATGTTAATACCTATATGAAGTGCCCTATGACAAAATTCAACAATAGTCAAGGTTTCATCATCATTATCATCATCATCACACAGTCGTCCACTGCTGGACATAGGCCTCTTCCAATCCACACAACTGAGTCCGGTCTGCTTTGGCTCTCCTCATCCACTTCTTGCCGGCAACCATTCGGAGGTCATCGCACCACCTAGGAAAAGGGCGTCTCACGTTATGTTTTCTCCACTACAAGTCTCCACTTGAGAACCCGTCTGCTCCAGCAATCGTCAGTTCTACGGCATATATGGCCAGCCCATTGCCACTTCAGCTTGCTGACTCTTTGACTACGTCGATGACTCTAGTTCTCTGTCGAATAACCTCATTCCTGATTTCATTCTTCAGAGAAACTCCAAGCATGGCTCTTTCCATGACCACCTTGAGCTGATGGACCAATCGAACTGTGAGGGTCCAGGTTTACCTATTTTTTTATTATCTCAAAAAAAATGAAAATGATATTATACCCTCAACTCAGCAAATAATATGATTCAAATCTGATCAGGAGTTTTTAATTTTGTGTTAAATATACAATGTACTATTTGAACGATGACGTCACCGTTCACGTGCGCCAAACAAACTGCATACCCACATTCGTTTTGAGTGAAAGAGAGAAAGCGTTTCCTGCCTAATTCAGAATTTTCGAATGCTTTTATTTATTTTACGTGATGGCGCACGACTAACATAGCTTCTTAACCCTTGGACTGCCGTGTAGGTCATCAGTGCCCTACGCGGCGCACTGAAGTACATAATGACGCCGATTTCTGTTACTAAAACGCCGGAATATCTAGTAGACTCTGGGAAAGACGAATCCAAGGATACTGAAATCGAATGCATTTCTCAGAGACCTAAAAGACTAAAACGAATGTTATCCAGGCGCCTTAGTCACAGAAATCGACAATATTACTTCAATGCGCCGCGTAAGGCACCGGTGACCTACACGGCAGTCAAAAGGTTAAAACTTGTTAAATGTTACTACTTTTTTTTTCTTTCAATGTTAACGTTTAATCTCCCGCTTTAAGCAAGCCGAAAGAGGTTCCTTAATATTTTTTTATTGCCCTTCTAGGCAGACGAACATACGGCCCACCAGTAGGTCAGTGGTCAACATCGCTCATGGGCATCAGCGATGCCGGGGACACAGCCAAGCGGCCTATCGCTGGAACCTACCTACCGCTACCATCGCACCCATGAAATATCTTGCTTGCTATAAACATTCGACTAAAACAGTTGCGCCAACCCTGTTACATTTTAGCAGGCACTCAATACGAGATTATAGGGTTCCGTAGTGGAATAACAAAAAGGAAAACTTACAGCTACATCTTCTTTGTCTGTCCGTACATATATATATATATATATATATATGTCTCGATCATTTAATTTGCAGGTAAATCGTGCTAATACCAATGAACAGCTGTTTAATCTCATAAATAGAAAAAATAAAACACTCAGGGATGTCAATTCTACACGTGTAACTGAAATCTGGGAATTTAGACTGTCAAGTCACATAAATAGAGCTGAAAATAAGAATGTAACGATAATTCAAGATATGCTTACGTCAATAAAAGTAAAATTTAAATTAAAAAAAAAAAATTTTTGTACGTCAATCCTGAATACAGGAACTTTTCGGTGTGCACACACACAAACAAACACACTCGGTCTATTTATTTTGTTATCATAACGAGCAGACTAGATCACGGCTCATCTGATGCTAAATGAGTACATTAAGATATCCAAATGGGAATGGCGTCCTCCTTCAATCAATTAAATAGATAACTGATGAGTAATTGACCAGTAGTGGACTGGGCTTGGTTATAACCAGCTTACTGGTGGTAGGACCTCTTGTGAGTCCGCGCGGGTAGATACCACCGCCCTGCCTATTTCTGCCCTGAAGCAGTAATGCGTTCCGGTCTGAAGGGTAGGGCAGCCGTTGTAAATATACTGAGATCTTAGAACTTATATCTCAAGGTGGGTGGCGCATTTACGTTGTAGATGTCTATGGGCTCCAGTAACCACTTAACACGAGGTGGGCTGTGAGCTCGCCCACCCATCTAAGCAATAAAAATAAATAAATCTTAAAGTTATACAGTAAAACGAATATAACATTTTGAATTGCACACTCAATTGTGCTAATATAAATAAATAAATAAAATTGATACTTGAAAATTCAACCCCTCAGAACACTTAATTAACAATTATTTTCGCTTTATCATCGAAATTAATTCGTGAAGACGGTGAGAATGAGGACGACAGACGCTAATGTTTAATGAACCGAACCTTGATACGAGTGTCGTGCGAACCCGCACGGAATCATACCGGCCTCTTTTGCTTTTCTTTTCACGAATTCAAATTCGTGATTTCTTATTAAAAAGTTTTCATCATACCAATCATACCAAAACACTAATATTAAACATGACCGAACGTTTCTCGCTGTCCGATTTAGAACTCACCTAACGTAGCACAAAACGAAAATAATTAATTACGCACGCTTAACCTAAAGTTAGAACTAATAGAAACCTTTGAAGGAAACGCGAGTGGCGCGATTTTCAAATCGAGGACGGATAAGGTCGTCTATAAGTGCCGTGCGCTACAAACCGCGGCCTTCGGCGGGCATTCGACACACGTCATCGCTGCCTGTCCGGTCGCTCCCCCAATAAATGAAATTTAACAGAATGAGGGAAAAAAAAATCAATACGAACACTAGTCACCGGGTATCGGCCACTATCGCAGCCCCTCTAATTTACTGCCAGCGATAAAAACAATCGTACGCCTGTGTGCGCGCCTACACACACGCACGCACACACGCCGACAACTATCATATTAAACCTCTACAATATTCATGCGACATTATGAAAGCCCTTATGTAACGTACCTAAGTCATCAATAATTCGAGCGGATTGATTCAAGCCACAATACTCACGGATAGAGCAGACGTCAAATGTTCTGAAAGTTGAGCATCCTAATTCTCCGACACGACGAGGTCGACGAACCCGGCGGACACGCTGACAAACACACAGTCCGCCATGTTGTAATTTAAACGTCAATTTTAAAATTCGAATCCGCCAACTGTCAAACTCGTGCGTCAGTAAACTTGGTGACAAACTTAAACCTCGCCCGCGTTACTTCCGAAACATATATCCGGTAGCCGAATTTTTATTTATTACTTTTAAGGTTTAAAATGTTTATGTTGTAATTACGCCTATCTATAAACACTTTGTTGTATAAAACGGTATAAAAATATTAAAATTATGAACCGTGGAAAACTTGTAAATGAAAACGAAATATAAATATATATTAATAATAATAAAAACGTTCAAGCGGCTCAGTGTTCGAGCGCCTACTGACTTAAAATTTTTGGGTATAAAAACATGCTACAATAGCCTCCCGAGGGAACGAGCAGTCTTGATACTTTCACCGGGAAAACTGAATGATACGAGGAAAATCAGTGAGAAACTAGTCAGAGATTCGTGAAGGAATTTGATCTTTATGTAATCCTATTACGTTACAATTTCTTAATACATATGTATAACATAACAACTGTGTGTTATTGAAATTTTTATTAAATTGTTGGTTCACTGAATAATAATTCCACTGAACGACATGTTTTTCACAATTTTCTTGTTGTTGTTATATAATTATATATGAATTATGTTATTTGTTTTTATTTATAAAATTATCTGTTCATTATGATGGGAAAAAAATTTGACCTAAGACCTTAGTTTTAAAGATAAAAAATTATGAAGTAATTTTTTTCAAATTTGATCTGTGTAGAGTAAGACAGTGGGCGCTGCTTGCAAAATAAATGTTAAATTATTTAAATAATTATATTATTCCTTTTACTACTTCTTCTAAATGAAAATTAATAATTTATAATTGTTTATCGTGCGTGCGAAAGTGATACAAAATGGTGGTCACGACCCTCAGCAATGAGGAATACGACGCAAGGAGGAGGACGTATCCAATACAAAATAATAGTACAGTAATTCTTAATTGTAAAATGATAGTTGGATGTTTTTACCCTTCTAAAACTTAATTCACACGATACGTACATAGTTGCAAAATAATGTATTATTTTTTTATCTAGTATCAAATGTTCAATTGCATTATGTGTCGAAAATGATCTTTGCATAACACATAAATGTTAAAGAACAAAACAAAAATTACAGAATCGATCCGTCTAAAATGCTGAAAACGTGTCTCACATTAATGAGTAAAATAATTTTAGCAATATGGATATATAAAGATAAACAAAAAAAATTCACAGATGATAGTGAAAGTGTTCAAGTATCAAGAGCTCGCGGTCGTCGTGTAGGGGAGCGTGTGTGCGTGTGCGAGGGGCGCGCGGAGGTGAGGCGAGGCGGTGGGGGACGCGGACGGGCGGCGGGTGAAATTTTTCGTTTTTCGCCCACTTTTCCGTCCCGCTCTAGTTTTTCCTCTCCCTCATTTTTTCTTCGCCCGCTTTCTTCTTCCTAGTGCCCCACCACATGTGTGCCGGGTATAGTACAATTGAAAAATACAGAAGCGACCTACTTCGTTTCCGGTTTCGATATTATTATTATTATTTTAATAATCTTATGTCTATTCGTGTGTGTATAAATGGATTTTAATTATCGAAAGAATCTACAAACGAATAAATAATGTATGAAGTCAACTTTCGCCGTCAGCTTACAAAACTATTTATTAAATAAATCTAAAGATAAAAGCAAAGAATATAATATATACACAGCACTGCACATAAAACATTATAGAATTTACAAAATAAACGTTTTTCGTGCTTACATCACAAGGAAAAATATTTTACTAAAGCATTCGTATGTAGAAACATTAGACCAAACGTAAAATTTAGACATCTAAAAACTAATATTTCAATCATTATTATTTAAAACATATAAATTTTAAAAAT